AGTCGTAATGGCTTGGCACTTTCCCTTGATAATTTCCTCCTCCCACAGGGACGGTGTTTGTCGATGGTGTGTTGGAGTTAATGCCTCGGCCATATGGGGCTCCTGGTGGTCAGGTCTCGGTGCATACCCAGTTGCTTTGTGGGGCATATTGTTTACGCTTTCCAGCACAGGAGTATCCGGATAAGTATGAGTAGTCTGTGTGATTGGTTTCTGTTTGTTTCTTTGTCTCTGATTTGCTGGGTGTTTGCTCTGGTGTGTGTGTGGCTTTGTTTCCCGGTGCCTGCGTGCACGTGTGGCTTTGTTTCCCGGTGCCTGCGTGCACGTGTGGCTTTGTTTCCCGGTGCCTGCGTGCACGTGTGGCTTTGTTTCCCGGTGCCTGCGTGCACGTGTGGCTTTGTTTCCCGGTGCCTGCGTGCACGTGTGGCTTTGTTTCCCGGTGCCTGCGTGCACGTGTGGCTTTGTTTCCCGGTGCCTGCGTGCACGTGTGGCTTTGTTTCCCGGTGCCTGCGTGCACGTGTGGCTTTGTTTCCCGGTGCCTGCGTGCACAGGGAGGTGTTATTGTGCGTGTGGGTGTTTCTTCTTGGCTCCTACGTCCCGGTACGTCCCAAACCGGCCTCTCCCGGTACGTCACAAACCGGCCTCTCCCGGTACGTCCCAAACCGGCCTCTCCCGGTACGTCCCAAACCGGCCTCTCCCGGTACGTCCCAAACCGGCCTCTCCCGGTACGTCCCAAACCGGCCTCTCCCGGTACGTCCCAAACCGGCCTCTCCCGGTTTGTACGGGAATTCGTGTACTATTTGTGTGCTTGTTTGTGGTTTGAGGAGTTCCCTTCGGGCTGTTTCTCTGCCTGTTACTGTTTTGTTCATTTCTGTTTGTATTTCTGTTTTGTTGTCGGCCCTTCAGACCGGTGTTTCTGTGCTTTGCTTAATTTGTTTCCTTATTTTGCATTGTTTTATTGTATTTATTAGCATGCTTTGCATGTAAATAATAATAAAAAATGCTGAATATACTTATCTTGAGGTTATCTTGAGATGATTTCGGGGCTTAGCGTCCTCGCGGCACGGTCCTCGACCAGGCCTCCTTTTTGTTATACACACCCCCAGGAAGCAGCCCGTAGCAGCTGTCTAACTCCCAGGCACCTATTTACTGCTAGGTAAACAGGTGGTATCAGGGTGAGAGAAACTCAGCCCATTTGTTTCTGCCTGCACCGGGCATCGAACCCGGAACCTCAGGACTACGAATCCGAAAACGCTGTCCACTCAGCTGTCCGGCTTCCCTGGATATATAGGCTGCTTGTTGTTTGATCTGAAGGCTGCAGACATTTTTTATTTTGTATACGAGGATGATGTTATACAGCTTCAATTCCTGTTTAGGTAATTTGCATACAGGAACTGAAATTGACGTGGGGGGGGGGGGGGTAAGGGGTGATGGGAATGCAAATTACTGTCTATTTTTATTTGTATTTAGAGGAAATATGAAAGGATCTGTACAGGGATAGTTAATTTTAATCAGTATACGAGTCTCGAGAAGAATTTAAAGTTGTGTGTGTGTGTGTGTGTGTGTATATATATATATATATATATATATATATATATATATATATATATATATATATATATATATATATATATATATATATATATATAATATATATATATATATGTCGTACCTAGTAGCCAGAACGCACTTTTCAGTCTACTATGCAAGGCCCGATTTGCCTAATAAGCCAAGTTTTCCTGAATTAATATATTTTCTCTAATTTTTTTCTTATGAAATGATAAAGCTACCCATTTCATAATGTATGAGGTCAATTTTTTTTTATTGGAGTTAAAATTAACGTAGATATATGACCAAACCTAACCAACCCTACCTAACCTAACCTATCTTTATAGGTTAGGTTAGGTTAGGTAGCCGAAAAAGTTAGGTTAGGTTAGGTAGGTTAGGTAGTCGAAAAACAATTAATTCATGAAAACTTGGCTTATTAGGCAAATTTGGCTTTGCATAGTAGGCTGAGAAGTACGTTCTGGCTACTAGGTACGACATATATATATATATATATATATATATATATATATATATATATATATATATATATATATATATATATATATATATATATATATATATATATTGTGACGGTAACGCGTTGGTGTTCGGCTGTTTAAGGCTAGGGGTATGGCCTCGTCACATAGTTATAAAAAAAAATAGAAAACTGGAACTTCGTCTGTGGTAAGGTAAGGAGAAGACACACAAAACACAAGTAAACTTTAACAATGAAATTTTAATTACGTTAAAGAAATAAAACATGAATAAAATGCACAAACAAATTCGTATAATAAAATCAATCAATCAAAATAATAAGAATAATTAAATGACACAATGAAAAGTTACGTTAAGGCAAAATAACAAGAAGTGCAATACAAAAATAAAGGGAAGGTGCTGGAATATTGGCTTTAAGCTACCACCTCTCTCAGTACACGCTAACGTCTAGCCGGGAGGAGTGTTAACTGTGGAAGCACTGAATATTCTGAGGTCTGAGGTCGTGGCGACCCCAGACATCAAGTAGTATGGGGGGGGCGAGTGCAGTTGCAGCCAGACCGGCGACCAATCAGCGGAGCCGGTAGCGATCAACAGGTAGTTTGGCGGTTTGAGTCTGAACAGGTGTCCCTGGCTGCATACGTTTGCGCTCTGTCAAACCTTGGAGATGTTGTTGTCGTTGTTGGACATTTCTTCCCTAGTAGTTTTATATAGTTTGTTGCGACGTATTTGTAGAGGGAAGAGCAGGCTCAATCTCTTGAAGGAGATTATTGTCACAATATATATATATATATATATATATATATATATATATATATATATATATATATATATATATATATATTTATAAAATAATAATGTTTCATGGTCAATCGAGAGACTCCGGTATAGAATTATAGACGGTATAGAATTATCCAAAGTGTCGAGGGATATGACCAATTGGCAGCTTAGTTGACTTGTTAACTGGGTAGTTGAGGAGAGCAGTGGTGCCATGTCTTCCTGATGTTAAAGTAGGAGAATATGGTGTTGGTAGAAGTGTTCTTATTCGTGTAGGTGGCTCTTACCAGCTAGTGCAAATGCAAAAGGTTTAACATCCGATGAAAACCTGTTTGGAATGCTTGATTATGTACACATTGCAACAAGATGAGGATGTTCAAGATGAGGTGAGGATGTTCAGTGTGGAAGGTTGAATATCCTCACAGTCGTACTGTGAGGATGTAACTGTGACACTGGTCTAGTTAAATCCCAAGTATTTAAGCTGTTACGTGTATATTTTCACTGACATATCTGGCAAACTCCTCAATTTTGTATACACTGTGCATATAATATATATCTATAAGAGAGAGAGAGAGAGAGTCTATCGATATGTCCAAGGTATATATCTCCAAGGTATATATTTATACCTATTGTGACGGTAACGCGTTGGTGTTCGGCTGTTCAAAGCTAGGGGTATGGCCTCGTCACATAGAATTAAAAAAAAATAGAAAATCTGGAACTTCGTCTGTGGTAAGGTAAGGAGAAGACACACAAAACACAAGTAAATTTTAACAATGGAATTTTAATTACGTTAGATAAACAAAACATGAATAAAATGGACATACAAATTCGTATAATAAAATCAATCAATCAAAATAATAAGAATAATTAAATGGCAAAATGAAAAGTTACGTTAAGACAAGTGAGCAATAACAAGCTGTGCAATATGCAATAAAATGAGAGGTGCAGGAATATTGGCTTTAAGCTATCACCTCTCTCAGTACACATAAGCCAAAGCTCAGTCTACAGGAAGAAGTGTTAACCGTATGAAAGCACTGAATATTCTGAGGACTGAGGTCGTGGCGGCCCCAGACATCAAGTAGTATGGTGGGTGGAGTGCAGTTGCAGCCAGACCGGCGGCCAATCAACGAGGAGCCGGCAACAAGACAGGTAGTTTGGCGGTTTGAGGCTGAAGCAGGTGTCCCTGGCTGCATACGTTTTGCGCTCTGGCAAACCTTGGAGATGTTGTTGTCGTTGGACATTTCTTCCATAGTAGTTTTATATATTTGTTGCGACGTATTTTTGGAGGGAAGAGCAGGCTCAATCTCTTGAAGGAGATTATCGTCACACTATATATATAGGTATATCTCCCAGGCCAGGCACTTGGGCCTGGCTTGGGAGATGAGAGAGTGGGAAGTAATATACCTTTTGCTAACAGCCCATGAAAAAAATGCATTTTATTCATTTTAGATGAACAGAAGAACTGAATTAGTTTATCATAAATCCTCCCCCCCTCTTCCCTCCCCCCCCCCCTTCTTTTTCCCCCTAAACCAATCGCCCCCCCCCCTACTCCAAGACCCACCTGTAACCCCTCACAACTAACCCCACCACATTAAGTTGAAAGGGAGTTAATGCTATTATCATTCTTTAGTGTCCGGATGTATTTGTCTCTGGCTTACTCGACACTCCGCGAAGCTGCATGCACCGAGGTTCCCAACTGTCACTCGACAGCCTTCACTCGGAAGCCTTCACTCGGAAGCCTTCACTCGGAAGCCTTCACTCGGAAGCCTTCACTCGGAAGCCTTCACTCGGAAGCCTTCACTCGGAAGCCTTCACTCGGAAGCCTTCACTCGGAAGCCTTCACTCGGAAGCCTTCACTCGGAAGCCTTCACTCGGAAGCCTTCACTCGGAAGCCTTCACTCGGAAGCCTTCACTCGACAGCCTTCACTCGACAGCCTTCACTCGACAGCCTTCACTCGACAGCCTTCACTCGGAAGCCTTCACTCGGAAGCCTTCACTCGGAAGCCTCAAACTGTCACTCGGAACTCTCACTTGACTAGGATGCTGTGAGCAGCGCTGATGTTGGTGGCATCAATCAGTACCAGAGCTGCACTTTGCATCAAGGCCACGTGACGTCCACACACCACTCTGTCTTCGGCGTAAAAAGTGTGTCGGCCTCGCGTACCGTTCATCCCAGTGAACGACGAATGGTACAAACGGAAGGCATTAGCGAGAAGCGGATTTCCTTGGTTAGAAACGGATTTCCTTGGTTAGAGACGGATTTCCTTGGTTAGAGACGGATTTCCTTGGTTAGAGACGGATTTCCTTGGTTAGAGACGGATTTCCTTGGTTAGAGACGGATTTCCTTGGTTAGAGACGGATTTCCTTGGTTAGAGACGGATTTCCTTGGTTAGAGACGGATTTCCTTGGTTAGAGACGGATTTCCTTGGTTAGAGACGGATTTCCTTGGTTAGAGACGGATTTCCTTGGTTAGAGACGGATTTCCTTGGTTAGAGATGGATTTCCTTGGTTAGAGACGGATTTCCTTGGTTAGAGACGGATTTCCTTGGTTAGAGACGGATTTCCTTGGTTAGAGACGGATTTCCTTGGTTAGAGACGGATTTCCTTGGTTAGAGACGGATTTCCTTGGGCGAGAAACGGATTTCCTTGGGCGAGAAACGGATTTCCTTGGGCGAGAAACGGATTTCCTTGGGCGAGAAACGGATTTCCTTGGGCGAGAAACGGATTTCCTTGGGCGAGAAACGGATTTCCTTGGGCGAGAAACGGATTTCCTTGGGCGAGAAACGGATTTCCTTGGGCGAGAAACGGATTTCCTTGGGCGAGAAACGGATTTCCTTGGGCGAGAAACGGATTTCCTTGGTTAGAAACGGATTTCCTTGGTTAGAAACGGATTTCCTTGGTTAGAAACGGATTTCCTTGGTTAGAAACGGATTTCCTTGGTTAGAAACGGATTTCCTTGGTTAGAAACGGATTTCCTTGGTTAGAAACGGATTTCCTTGGTTAGAAACGGATTTCCTTGGTTAGAAACGGATTTCCTTGGTTAGAAACGGATTTCCTTGGTTAGAAACGGATTTCCTTGGTTAGAAACGGATTTCCTTGGTTAGAAACGGATTTCCTTGGTTAGAAACGGATTTCCTTAGTTTGAAACGGATTTCCTTAGTTTGAAACGGATTTCCTTAGTTTGAAACGGATTTCCTTGGTTAGAAACGGATTTCCTTGGTTAGAAACGGATTTCCTTGGTTAGAAACGGATTTCTTTGGCGATTAACGGATTTCCTTGGCGAGAAACGGATTTCCTTAACACGTTTCTGAATAGGCTCGTTAAGTCCAGCAACATGCTTAACCTATCGAAACCAGTAGGTAGAAAACGTCCATATTACGGTGTTTTACATATTTTACTTAATACGTCTTATTTTTAAACAGATTTGTACATTACGTCCACAATACGACGTGTTAGGTGAGCGGGGCAAGTTGGACATAAGCGTGAAGTAGTATTTTTTGGAATGCTTTAAAAACGACTTTAGTTCAAAGTTCTGCAGATCGCGACGAGTTGAAAATCTGAAAAAATGCTCAAATTGGGTAAAAAAAATAAAACCAATTAGATAATTGGTCTGGCAACGCTACTAATAGGGGGGAAAAATACTTTTTTAATTGTATAGATGTATCGGGTTTTTAATCCTGCCTCTTGTGAGTAGTTGCGGCCATTGGCGTCGCTTTTCCAATTTCCTAGCGGGGTCAACACTTTTTTTTTTTTCCCCCAATTACAGTCTTCAATCGGCAATGGGCAATTCCCAATTTCCTGTCTCGAACGCGGACCCTTTCTCAGAGGGAGGATACAATCAGGTCCAGGCGTGAGATAATCTTGGGAGGGGTCCCCCCCTGATTGTAATCCTCTGGGGATTGGGAGGTTAGGGAGGGGGGGGGGAGGGGAAGGAATTGAGGCCTACACCACATATATTTTAGAATGATCTGGGTATAAGTTTGTGGATACGGGATAGGGGGATTGGGTAGGATGGTGGATTGGGTAGCGGGATTGAGGAGTGTAGGTGGGCTAGGAGTTGATGGTATTCAGTAGGAGGATTTGTTGGATTGGAAAGGTGGGGCGATTGGATGAAAGATCTGGAGGATCGGTGGGGTGATTGGGGCAGATTGCCAATTAAAAGGGGTGGTTGTTGTAGGAAATTAGGGAAGATAGGAGGCAAAGGGGATGATGATTACTATTGGAGAGAATGGAGGGTATACTACGGATTTCTATACTATACTATAGAAATCTATCATTTTTTCATTTCCTAAGCCACAGGCCTATGTTGGTTCGTGGGGGGGGAGGGTTGCTTGGGCGCGTACCCTCTTTCACACATAGGCCTATTTCGTAAATCGTGCTCTTTCATGCTGGAATAGGCTTAGCCACGAACTGGCTCACATTGTTTTTCCAAATGGTCGAAAATTATGTGAGAGTTTATGCAGGACCGCGTTCGATCCCCGAAGGTGTAGGTGATTTGGCACCGTTCCTTCCCTCCATTCTCGTATCCCAGCACCTTGTCCTCGCATCCCATCTCCTTGTCCTCGCATCCCATCTCCTTGTCCTCGCATCCCATCTCCTTGTCCTCGCATCCCATCTCCTTGTCCTCGCATCCCATCTCCTTGTCCTCGCATCCCATCTCCTTGTCCTCGCATCCCATCTCCTTGTCCTCGCATCCCAGCTCCTTGTCATCGTATCCCAGCTCCTTGTCCTTTCATCCCAGCATCTTGTCCTCGCATCCCAGCACCTTGTCCTCGTATCCCAGCACCTTGTCCTCGCATCCCAGCACCCTGTCCTCATCTCCTAGCTTGTCATCATGCCTGGGGCGGTACTCACCTATTTGTACTCACCTATTTTTGCTTGCGGGGGTTGAGCTTTGGCTCTTTGGTCCCGCCTCTCAACTTTCAATCAACTGGTGTACAGATTCCTGAGCCTACTGAGCTACCAGCCTCGCATATGCCGCAGACGTTATTCTTTTTATGTGGGCTTCAGGAGACAGGTTTGGTGTGATATCAACTCCTAGATCTTTCTCTCTGTTCGTTTCATTAAGTACTTCATCTCCTATTCTGTATCCTGTGTCTGGCCTCCTATTTCCACTGCCTAGTTTCATTACTTTGCATTTACTCGGGTTGAACTTCAACAGCCATTTGTTGGACCATTCACTCAGTCTGTCTAGGTCATCTTGTAGCCTCCTACTATCGTCCTCAGCGGTCTGTTGACAGGTGTGTCATTGACGATCCAGGTACTGGTCTCCGCTCCGAATTAACGTCATGCATTACAATGTAGCCGTGTCGGCAGCGGCGGGTCTCTAAATATGCAGACGATGAGGCTGGGGAGGATTGGTGGGGGGATATCTGTGTTGGGTGGGGGTGTTCTCGGGGGTAAATGGTGGGGGTTGGGGGGACGGGGTTTCGGGAGCAAGAGGTGTGGGGTGTTGCCCTCTGCTGCTAGAGTTGTGTTCGTGGTTTCGTCACCTCGAAATGGAATGAAGTTTGTGGTTAAGATTCGCTACTTGGAACATAAAGTTCCAAGTAGCACGGGCTATGGTGAGCCCGTAGTGGACTTTTATTTTTGAAATGAAGTAATATACAGTGGTATATGCTGTATGACATGTACTACTAAGTACTATCACAAAACACAACATAGACTTAACTCTCAGACCGAATCTGTCTCTCCCACCACCACACTCATAGCTACTGACTCCCTTACACACAGACGCCTGACTCTCGCACAATAATACCAGAAATGTCCACCAAAAAACTCTTAAATCAATCCCTGACATATGGAGGGAAAATAACTTAGTATAATTTAATCTCGCATAAATGAAATAATTCATGATTTACTAAATTGATGGCGTTTTTCTGCTCCCTCACACGTTCAATACAGGTATACTTATACGCGCCTTGACCACCTCCCATACAATATGCAATAACATACCATACACTATACATATGTAATATACAGTAATGACATGTTCCAATACTACATAACGTATATAATTATGCCTACATTAACTATGGTGAGAATTGGGTAATTCGTAACAACGGGTTGTTGGTGCAGGAGAGCCCGTAGGGTTGATGGGTATTAAGGACCTGTGGAGATAGTTGAACTATCTTGAAAGACAGTTGGTGAAAAGGGCCCCCAGAGGATATCTGGGGAAAGGAGGAGATTATCGGGTGGTGGTGGAGGAGGGGTAGAGCTGGGGAAAGGGGGGGTGGGAGAGAGGGGGGGTCGTGGGCAAGGAGGGGGGGGCTTCAAATAGTTGGGGATTTAAAAAATATCCAAATAGTGAAGGGTTTCGCGAGTTTGTTTTAATATATTTCACTACCCTGTGAGCCAGCCATCACTAGGTCGGTGTCAGGTGACGGACGCACGCACACACACCTGGGGGCCTGGTGGCTGAGTGGACAGCGCTCGGTGTTCGTAATCCAAGGGTTCGGGGGATCGATTCCCGGCGATGATGGAAACAAATGGACAGAGTTTATTTCATCCTGATGCCCCATGTTCACCTAGCAGTAAATAAACACCTGGAAGTTAGACAGCTGCTATGGGCTGCTTCCTGAGTGTGTGTGTGGGGGAAAAAAAATGATTGGCAGTTGAGAGGCGGGCCGAAAGAGCCAGAGCTCAACCCCTGCAAGCACAACTAGGTGAATACACACACACACACACACACACACACACACACACACACACACACACACACACACACACACACACACACACACCAGAGAGAGAGGGGGGTCGAGAGAGAGAGGGGGGGAGAGAGAGGGGGGCGAGAGAGAGAGGGAGAGAGGGGGGCGAGAGAGAGAGGGAGAGAGGGGGGCGAGAGAGAGAGAGAGAGGGGGGGGGAGGGAGAGAGAGAGAGAGAGGGAGAGAGGGGGTCGAGAGAGAGAGAGGGAGGGAGAGAGGGAGCCAGAGAGCCAGAGAGCCAGAGAGCCAGAGAGCCAGAGCGCCAGAGCGCCAGAGAGCCAGAGAGCCAGAGAGCCAGCAAACCAAGATGAAAGGGCCACTGATAGCAGGACTCTGCAGAAAACGTGGTGACATCGGAGAGACATTTTTGCCTCAACTTTTGGTGCTCCCGTCCTAGACTTTTTACCCTGGCAGACTATTATATTTTTATTTCGTTTCATTGAGAAGCAAAAGCCATAAAGATTATTTTTACAGTGTCACATACCCAAAGAGATTACATATATTTTTGTTTTTGTACCGCGGGGGATACAAGCCTGAAATATTTTATTTTAAAGTCAGTCGTAAAGATTATTTAAACAAAATGGCTAGACATTGTGATTTTTTTTAGTTTTAAACATAAAGATTATTCCTTAGTGAGACGCGACTATAGAGGTTTCTTGATAAGACAGCCAGGATGGTTTCTTAGTGAGAGGGAACCATGAGGGTTTCCTTGTGAGAGACAGTTTTGAGGGGTTTCCTTGTGAGAGACAGTTTTGAGGGGTTTCCTTGTGAGAGAGAGTCTTGAGGGGTTTCCTTGTGAGAGAGAGTCTTGAGGGGTTTCCTTGTGAGAGAGAGTCTTGAGGGGTTTCCTTGTGAGAGAGAGTCTTGAGGGGTTTCCTTGTGAGAGACAGTCTTGAGGGGTTTCCTTGTGAGAGACAGTCTTGAGGGGTTTCCTTGTGAGAGACAGTCTTGAGGGGTTTCCTTGTGAGAGACAGTCTTGAGGGGTTTCCTTGTGAGAGACAGTCTTGAGGGGTTTCCTTGTGAGAGACAGTCTTGAGGGGTTTCCTTGTGAGAGACAGTCTTGAGGGGTTTCCTTGTGAGAGACAGTCTTGAGGGGTTTCCTTGTGAGAGACAGTCTTGAGGGGTTTCCTTGTGAGAGACAGTCTTGAGGGGTTTCCTTGTGAGAGACAGTCTTGAGGGGTTTCCTTGTGAGAGACAGTCTTGAGGGGTTTCCTTGTGAGAGACAGTCTTGAGGGGTTTCCTTGTGAGAGACAGTCTTGAGGGGTTTCCTTGTGAGAGACAGTTTTGAGGGGTTTCCTTGTGAGAGACAGTTTTGAGGGGTTTCCTTGTGAGAGACAGTCTTGAGGGGTTTCCTTGTGAGAGACAGTCTTGAGGGGTTTCCTTGTGAGAGACAGTCTTGAGGGGTTTCCTTGTGAGAGACAGTCTTGAGGGGTTTCCTTGTGAGAGACAGTCTTGAGGGGTTTCCTTGTGAGAGACAGTCTTCAGGGTTTCTTAATGAGAGACTAGTATCAACCATGATTTAAAGGGGCACAAAATGTTACATTACATTTACATTACATTAAAATGTAACAAAATGTTACCGTATGGCTGAAGGTGGAGGGGGTGTTAGACTGTTTTTTCTACGCTTACCACCCTTAGGAGGTGGACCTCGAACATTAAGCTTACTCCAGATTTTTATACTCTAAGCCTGAGCCCGTAGGAAAAGCGGGAGCAAACTGCTAGGCTTCCACCACACGGGTGAAAATCTG